GCGCGGCGCGCGGGGGGGTCTGTTTCTTCTATACAATGAAAGTCAATAGGGCCCAAAGTTTAAGAAAATAATCCATATAAGTTTGGATCGAGTTATTATTATTATTATTATTCAATTTATTCAATACTTTTGACTAAAGAACAGTATGAAACCATTTAGCAACTGCTTACAACAACTTCTGCACAGTCAAGTGCCACCCACATTATCTTCAGAAAATGTAAACATCTATTTTTAACATACTGTACATTGTTGCAAACAATTTGCTATTGATGCTTTTAATTAATAAGTGAGAGCTAGAGAGGGCTTGTAGAGTGTGAATGTATGTTTAGTGTTTGTGTGTGTATGTGTGGCTGTGGCTGTGGCTGTGAGTGCATTACAGTCGTCTCTGTGTGTGTGTGCGCGTTTTTGTGACAAATGAGGACATAAATTTGTATAATGACAAGGGTATGACAAGGAGAAGGTGACTTTTCAGGACATTACCCCATGTCCCCACTTTTCAAAACGCATATAAATCACACAGAATGGAGTGTATTGAAAATCTGAAATAGCACAAAGTTTCCTGTGAGGGGTAGGGTTAGGTGTAGGGATGGTGTCAATAAATAGCACATACAGTTTGTACAGTATAAAAACCATTATGCTTATGGGATGTCCTCACTTTTCACAAAAACAAACCTGTGTGTGTGTGTGTGTGAGGGGGTTGAGATTGTGTATATGAGTGTGTTTGTAAGCATGTGTGTATGTATGTGTTGTCAAGTGGGTGTAGGTCATGTGTGTGTGTGTTGTGGTGTGTGGGGGGAGAACAGGTTAGTGGGTTACATTCATGTGTGTGAGTGTGTATGTGTGTGAGTGGGTTGCTCTGTTAATGCAGCTCTATTGGCAGTCCTCCAGAATACTGGAGTCTGTGTGGTGATCCGTTCTGCTGTCTGAAATATCGATCACACCAGCAGCCAGAGGCGATTCAGACACATTATTTAGACATACAAAAATACAGCCACAGAGTCAATTAGCAAGATACAGTTTTATAATAATATACCGCAGTAGTCATTTTGCATTTGCAAAGCAAACAAACAAGAACTATGGTGATACTAAGAAGAACTATTGCGGTACTATGGTTGGCTGGACATTTATCATGGAAATATCATGTTTTTGAATGTGTACTAATACTATGTTTGTTTGTATGTATCATGATAATACTTTAGTTGTTGGGGCACGTGCCCTGGTAATACCATGTTTTTGATCACATACCTTGGTTGTTTTGACATTTGCCTTGGTAAAATACTTTATAAATGTATAGTTGCTGTATAAATTTCATAATAATGTATTTTTCTACCAGTTCAAGATTGGATTTTCACCAGTAAAGTTTTGTCAATTATTTTTGTGATTACAGGCAATGTCTCTAAAAGATCTTCTTTTGATGGGCTTTGGCAAATATATATTTAAATAAATGCTGTTCTTTTGCACTTTATGTTGACAAAAGAATCCTGAAAAAAATATTATGGTTTTTATAGAAAAAAAAAGTAAGCAGCACAACTGTTTTGAATATTAATAATAATAAGGAATCTTTCTTGGGCTCAAAATCAGCATATTAGAATTGTTTCTGAAGGATAATGTGACAATGAACACTGGGGTAATGGCTGCTGAAAATTCAGCTTTGCCATCACAGGAATAAAATACATTTTAAAAATACAGCACACTTTTGAATGGTATTCCATATGTGATTAATTGTGATTTATTGAATTATTAAATCAACATATGTTATAATTTGATTAAAAGTCAATTGAAAGATATAATTATAATGCAAAGAAACACAGTGACAGTATTCACAAAATAAACAAATGCATTTTATCTGATGAATAATGAACGGCTGAAGGATAGTGGTACTGATAGATGTGAGGCAGAAATGAAGTGTCATTCTGTGGGTTAATTAGTGGGTAACTGTGTCACTGCATGATGGGGGTTCATGACACCACTGATAACCTCTCTCATAACCTCTAATGTTTTCGTGTGAGAGAGAGACAGGCAGAGAAGAACCTCTCAATTTGCTTTACACACAACTAGCTCACTTTGATAAATTTTTTAATAGGTCTCTGCATGAGAAACTGACTGATTCTCCCCTCAATTCTTGTCCTTTCCAATTAATCCTCTTTTTATTTTTGGAGCGTTTCTCATCTCATCTCTCCGTCTCTCGCTCTTCATGTTCCCTCTCGAGAGTGTGCAGCCCACGTTCACTTTTCTAACTCATAGAGTCTGTGCGTCCCACACGTGGAGAGAAAGATTGAGATGGAGGAGAGATGAGCGCAGCGTGTGGTACGTCCCATGTGATGCATGGAAAGCCAGACAACAGGATTCCTTTTTCAAATCTGCGGGATGAATCTTTTGTATCTTCACAGGAGCTTGTATGCATTACAGATTAAAAACTGAGCAAAGAAACACCACTTACCCTGAATATATGTTAAATTATGCATGAATGTGGTTTAGTGTGGTGGTTTTTCATTTATTTGATTGAGTTTGAGATACATAAGGCACACTGGCCAAAGGAGATATTTAAAGTCATAGTTCACACAAAAATTAAACTTGTCATTATTTATTCACCATCATGTCATTTCAAAGTTGTATGACTTTTCTCTAGACTGATTTAAAGGGATAGTTCACCCAAAAATAAAAAATCTGTCGTCATTTACTCACCCTCAAATTGTTATAAACCTGTATGAGTTTCTTTCTACCGTTGAACATAAAAGAAGTTAAGTAGTTATTTTGAAGAATGTTGGTAACCAAACATTTTCTTGTCCCCATTGACTTCCAGTATTTTTTTCCATACTATGGAAGTCAGTGGCTACCAGCAACAGTTTGCAGCAACCAACCAGCATCCAACATTCTTCAAAATAACTTATTTAATGTTCATTGGAAGAAAAAAAACTCATACAGCTTTTGAACAAGTGTGAGTAAATGATGACAGAATTTTCATTTTTGGGTGAACTATCCCTTTAAGTCAACACAGCGCAGAAAGCTGTTTGTGTATGATTCACTATAAAGGATTGAAATACAATATACTGGTCCCATCTCATTG